TAGGCAGGTGAGGAGCAATGGTACAACGGTACATATGATACAATGGTACATATGATAGTGGTACAACGGTACATATACAATGGCACAACGGTACATATACAGTGGTACAACACCCTCCCTCCAATATTGTCCAAATTTTTCAAAGACAAAAATTTTCCATGCTTTACCAAGGCTTATATGTTCGCTTGGGATGAGGTGGAAGAGAACGTGATTGAAATGAATAAGTGGATAAATGACATAATGGCTATTAACAGGTTATTAAAGACCTCTGTGCTTTGTGCTTAGCTCATTAGGAGTCAACAACCAGTTAACACATGATTACATTCTACCCACTTGAAGACCCCGAGCTAACACAGAGACAGTAGAAGCAAGCACATAGGCATTTAATGGCCCCTATTAATATCCATTAGGCCTTTTATCCACTTGGTCATCTCAATCACGTCCTGTACCACCTTACCTCAAGCGAACTTAAGCCTGTGTGCAAAATGCTCTTCTTCGTCTTCTTCTGGTGGTGTTCTGTATGTTTGGAGGTGGTTACAAAGGTGGTGAGCATGTTTGGAGGTGTTGCAAAAGGGGGTGCGCATGTTTGGAGGTGTTGCAATGGTGGTGCGCATGTTTGGAGGTGTTGCAATGGTGGTGCGCATGTTTGGAGGTGTTGCAATGGTGGTGCGCATGTTTGGAGGTGTTGCAATGGTGGTGCGCATGTTTGGAGGTGTTGCAATGGTGGTGCGCATGTTTGGAAGTGTTGCAATGGTGGTGCGCATGTTTGGAGGTGTTGCAATGGTGGTGCGCATGTTTGGAGATATTACAAAGGTGGTGCGCATGTTTAGAGGTGTTACAAAGGTAGTACGCATGTTTGGAGGTGTTGCAAAGGTGCTGCGCATGTTTGGAGGTGTTACAAAGATGGCGCGCATGTTTGGAGCTGTTACAAAGGTGGTGCGCATGTTTGGAGGTGTTGCAAAGGTGGTGCGCATGTTTGGAGGTGTTACAAAGATGGCGCGCATGTTTGGAGGTGTTACAAAGGTGGCGCGCATGTTTGGAGCTGTTACAAAGGTGGTGCGCATGTTTGGAGCTGTTACAAAGGTGGTGCGCATGTTTGGAGGTTATCTGTGTCCAAACACCTCTCTATGACACACAGAAATCACAATAGCGTGATGCATCAAATGAACATATCCACGAGGGCCGTGATGAGGGTTCGAACCTCCGTCCGTGTGGATTTGTTCACCTCACGATGCCTCACCCCCCCCCCCTCCCACTCAGTTGGCACAGGGGCGCCGGTTCAGCGTCATTAACGCCAATTCAACGTTCAGTCAACGTCATCGAAACCAATATTGAATCAACCTTGACGACATTGAACCGGCGTCGCTCCTGGCCGTTGTGCAGACTGGGTTCTTGGTAGCTACTGTTTTTTCCAAGTTTCAGGGGGTACAAGTTTCAGGGGGTACAAGTTTCAGGGGGTACAAGTTTCAGGGGGTACAAGTTTCAGGGGATACAAGTTTCAGGGGGTACAAGTTTCAGGGGGTACAAGTTTCAGGGGGTACAAGTTTCAGGGGGTACAAGTTTCAGGGGATACAAGTTTCAGGGGATACAAGTTTCAGGGGATACAAGTTTCAGGGGATACAAGTTTCAGGGGGGTACAAGTTTCAGGGGGTACAAGTTTCAGGGGATACAAGTTTCAGGGGGTACAAGTTTCAGGGGGTGTCTGTCAAGGGGTACAAGTTTCAGGGGGGGTATCTGTCAGGGGATACATGTTTCAGGGGGTACAAGATTCAGAGGGTATCTATCAGGGGGGGTAAAAGTTTCAGGGGGTACATGTTTCAAGGGATACACGTTTCAGGGAGTATCTGTCAGGGGAGTACAAGTTTCAGGGGGTATCTGTTAGGGGAGTACAAGTTTCAGGTGTTTCTGTTAGGGGGTACATGTTTCAGGGGGAACAAGTTTCAGGGGATACAAGTTTCAGAGGATACACGTTTCAGGGGGTACAAGTTTCAGGGGGAACAAGTTTCAGGGGATACAAGTTTCAGAGGATACACGTTTCAGGGGGTACAAGTTTCAGGGGGGTATCTGTCGGGGAGGGTGTACATGTTTCATGGAGTACAAGTTTCAAGGGGTATTTGTCAGGAGGGGGGAGCAAGTTTCAGGGGGTACCTGTCAGGGGGGGGATGTACAAGTTTCAGGGGGTACCTGTCGTACGTCTGTGGTTCCTCCGGACGTTGCGCACACAAGCAGTGCTCGTTGCTTCAGTGTTGCTATTACTGTTATTAGATCTATCCTTGCTCTCTACTCCTTCATGGATATTTTTTTAATATACGAGTTTGTCCAATAAAGTTATATTTTTTTAATGATTTGGTTGGGTTAGACATTCTCACCTCTGTAGCCTTTCAAACTTGTCTTGAATTAGACAAACATTTGATTTTCTGTCTTGATTTCTCTTGATTTTTGACAAACTTGTAAAAGAAAAATTTGTTTTTGTCCAATTTGGAAACTAAGAAAGTATTCCCTTTTTTTTTTTTAACATCGCAAAGCACTTCAATCACATGTGATTGTAGTGCATTGCGATGTCTTAGCAGATCTCTAAGCCCTCTCCAAGGCGGACAGAAGAAAATGTATATATATCTTGGTTTCCATTGTATAAATGAATGTCGTCTGTTGTCGAAAATAAACTGGAAAAACAACACAAACAAAATAGCCAAAATATATAAGTCTCTCTCTAGTCTCCGGCGTTATCAAAATTCCTTTCTGTTGGCCGTCACCAGACCCTGACTGTGTGTGTGTTCTAGGTCATCACTCATTCTGATAGAACACGAATTCCTTTCTCCGTCAATCACTATGCAAATGAGTGCAATTGCATAGTCAATCCCTCTCTACCGGCGATTGGCATCTTAGGGTGGCCTATTTAATGTTAATCGGACGCTCTCCTTAATAGTAAGGAGCTAAGACAAGGTAAATGGCAGGGAACATGGCAAGGTTGGCAGGGAACATGGTAAGGAACATGGCAAGGTTGGCAGGGAACAATGGCAAGGTTGGCAGGGAACATGTCAAGGTTGGCAGGGAACTTGAAGATGTATAATCCTCGATCAAGATAACGACACTTGATTTAACTTCCTAATACAACTGATTGAAGCTCCGTGATTATCATAAATTGTGTTGCTGTTGACCCCTGGCGTCCACAAGTGTTACCAGAGTGTTGCCACCCTCCACCACTCCCACAAAGACCAGAAGCACACAAACACACACACACACACACACACACACACACACACACACACACACACACACACACACACACACACACACACACACACACACACACACACACACACACACACACACACACACACACACACACGGGTCAAGTCCCTTAAAAGGCATCAAAACCCCACTTTTTACAATTCCCTAAACGTTGCTCTTCTCTGAACTCATTGTCCATAAAACCATATAAGAAGGATCGGATTAAATGATGCTCACTTGCGTCTTTCACTTCCCTTATCGAATGGCGCATAAAGCAGCTTAGATAAGACGGGAGAGTGTGCTACGCTCCTCCTTCACGTCTCCCGGAGCATTGTTCCGGGGAGGTAAGAGGCGGGGGGGGGGGGGGGGGCCTTCTTGATGACACTGTCTGGGGGGAAAGGAGCCTTCTTGATATTCTCATGAGGGAACCCTTCTTGATAAACAGAATAAGGAGCCGTCTTGATTACAGTGTTGGGGGGAGGAGGCTTCTTTATCAGACCCGGAGGAAGAGTAATTCCCCGCCTGTATCTACCTCCCCCGCCTGTATCTACCTCCCCCGCCTGTATCTACCTCCCCCGCCTCCCCCATATACTTAAGCTGATATCAGCGTCCATAACCCCAGGGTTAATCCTCTTCCCTCCCCCCCCCCACGCCCTTGTCCAGGCCTCTCAGCAACATGCACGCCCACTGTAGCGCCCACGGCGACACACGCCCACCGTGGGTGATCGCCAGACGCAAGAAACACATGGGGGTTGTACCACTTAATTGTGGTTGTGGCACTTGAGTGATTGTGACACTCGAGAGTGATTGTCGCACTTGAGTGGTTGTGGCGCTTGAGGTAGCATTGCTCTTTGCGGGCCCCAGCATCGCCTCTTGGGAGGATGATGCTCCCTTCAGTGATAGTGAGAAAAACAATATAGATGAGGACATTATGCCTTCCCCTGCCTGTAATGTTGCACGTCAGAGAGGAGGGAAGCTGAGAGAGAGAGAGAGAGAGAGAGAGAGAGAGAGAGAGAGAGAGAGAGAGAGAGAGAGAGAGAGAGAGAGAGAGAGAGAGAGACACACACATATATATACAGAGTAGGCATGATAGAGGAAAATTCGATTGGTAGTCAGAACATTAGACAACCGACGTTTCGAAAGGCGGGGTCCAAGAGCTAACAAACTGGAACCTGTAGGCATACATAGTAAACACACACAGGGGAGGGGGGGGGGAAGGAACATGATGGTGACACAGATTTTTATGTTGTTTTCAGTATTAAGAATTCTTACTCTTGGTTGTGAGAGCAGGACTTGGAAGCATTTCGATAGAGCGCTCAACGGATGAGAGTGAGGACGGGTATGGGCGCTCAACGGATGGGAATAAGGGCAGGTATGGGCGCTCAACGGATGAGAGTGAGGGCGGGTATGAGCGCTCAACGGATGGAATAAGGGCAGGTATGGGCGCTCAACGGATGAGAGTGAGGACGGGTATGGGCGCTCAACGGATGAGAGTGAGGGCGGGTATGGGCGCTCAACGGATGGGAATAAGGGCAGGTATGGGCGCTCAACGGATGAGAGTGAGGACGGGTATGGGCGCTCAACGGATGGGAATAAGGGCAGGTATGGGCGCTCAACGGATGAGAGTGAGGGCGGGTATGAGCGCTCAACGGATGGGAATAAGGGCAGGTATGGGCGCTCAACGGATGAGAGTGAGGGCGGGTATGGGCGCTCAACGGATGGGAATAAGGGCAGGTATGGGCGCTCAACGGATGAGAGTGAGGGCGGGTATGAGCGCTCAACGGATGGGAATAAGGCAGGTATGGGCGCTCACGGATGAGAGTGAGGACGGGTATGGGCGCTCAACGGATGGGAATAAGGGCAGGTATGGGCGCTCAACGGATGAGAGTGAGGGCGGGTATGAGCGCTCAACGGATGGGAATAAGGGCAGGTATGGGCGCTCAACGGATGAGAGTGAGGGCGGGTATGGGCGCTCAACGGATGGGAATAAGGGCAGGTATGGGCGCTCAACGGATGAGAGTGAGGGCGGGTATGAGCGCTCAACGGATGGGAATAAGGGCAGGTATGGGCGCTCAACGGATGAGAGTGAGGGCGGGTATGGGCGCTCAACGGATGGGAGTGAGGGCGGGTATGGGCGCTCAACGGATGAGAGTGAGGGCGGGGATGGGAGTGAGGGCGAGTATGGGCGCTCAACTGTGCATGAGCACCAGACTTAGAGGTTCCACAGCCTTATTTCTTGCACATATGGATCGAGATAGTTCCTTTGTTCATAGGAGTTGGATATGGAGGGACACCTGGCTGCTGCTGGTGCTGCTGCTGCTCCTGCTGCTCCTGCTGTTCCTGCTGCTGCTGATGTGTCTAAAGCTGGTCCAGGTTTAGATACTCTCGGTTAGAAAGGGAGTTTCAATAAGGTAAGAAAAAGGCTTCAAAGGATCTGTGCGCGGGATCTTTTTTGAGGGGGCATTTGGCGCCAGATACGTGAGTTTCACAGTTGTGTTTACTGAGCACTGACCTTCCGTTGGTTATCATGGTGACTACCGGACCTGAGGCGGGGTTACTGCCTACAGGATAACGCTCGATGTCATCTTTGTATTACACTCCCGCCAACCACCCAGCTGTGTGTGTGTGTTTGTGTGTGTGTGTTTGTGTGTGTGTGTGTGTGTGTGTGTGTGTGTGTGTGTGTGTGTGTGTGTGTGTGTGTGTGTGTGTGTTTCCCTAGTTGTGCTTGCGGTGATTGAGCTCTGGCTCTTTGGTCCCGCCTCTCAACTGTCAATCAACTGGTGTACAAATTCCTGAGCCTACTGGGCACTATCATATCTACATTTGAAACTGCGTATGGAGTCAGCCTTCACCACATCACTGCCTAATGCATTCCATCTGTTAACTACTCTGACACAGAAAAAGGTCTTTCTAACGTCCCTGTGGCTCATTTGGGTACTCAGTCTCCACCTGTGTCCCCTTGTTCGCGTACCACCCGTGTTAAACGGTTTATCTTTATCTACCTTGTCAATTCCTCTGAGAATTTTGTAGGTAGTGATCATATCTACCCTTACTCTTCTGTCTCCCAGAGTCGTGAGGTGCATTTCTCACAGCCATTCCTCGTAACTCATGCCTCTTAGTTCTGCGACTAGCCTAGTGGCATACCTCTGAACTTTTTCCAGCTTCGTCTGTTGTTTGACAAGGTACGGGCTCCATGCTGGGGCCGCATACTCCTGGATTGGTCTTACATATGTGGTATACAAGTTTCTGAATGATTCCTTCCCAGGTTCCTAAAAGCAGTTCTGATGTTAGCCAGCCTTGCATACTCCGCCGATGTTATTCTTTCTATGTGGGCTTCAGGAGACAGGTTTGGTATGATATCAACTCCTAGATCTCTGTCCGTTTCATGAAAGACTTCATCTCCCATGCGGCATCTTGTGTCTGGTCTCCTGTTTCCACTGCCTAGTTTCATTACTTTACATTTACTCGGGTTGGACTTGAGCCATTTATTGGACCATTCATTCAGTTTGTCTAGGTCATCTTGTAGCCTCATACTATTTTCCTCCGTCTTAATCCTCCTCATAATCTTTGCATCATCAGCAAACAATGAGAGGAATGATTCTATACCCTCTGGGAGATCATTTACATATATCAGAAACCGTATAGGTCCAAGGACTGAACCCTGCGGGACTCCACTTGTGACGTCTCGCCAATCCGAGACCTCACCCCTCACAGTGACTCGTTGTCTTCTGTTGCTTAGGTACTCCCTTATCCAGTGGAATTCCTTCCCTTTCACTCCCGCCTGCATCTCCAGCTTGTGTACTTGTCTTATGTGGTACTGTGTGTGTGTGTGTGTGTGTGTGTGTGTGTGTGTGTGTGTGTGTGTGTGTGTGTGTGTGTGTGTGTGTGTGTGTTACTATTTTTATATCCTCCACGATTTTATATCCTTCACTCTCCTCCAATTTTTCTCCTTCGAGCCCTATTAGCCTTTCCTCCCACTCCCTTTTGCTTCTATTCTCCTCCTCCTCCTCCTCAACCTTGCCCCTCCACTCCCCCCCCCCCCTTTACCCCAGTTCCGCATTGTAAATAATGCGTCTGACGTGAGGTTCATTTGTTCTCACGACTCCCGTGTCGCTTTTTACCTGTGTGACGTCACGCAACCCTGGCGCATGCTGCACACCTGGTGACGTCACTCTCCTCCCGGATGTGGCCCCAAGATGTGGGCCACCTTCCAGCATCCTCATCCCGGGGCATTGTTCCTACTGGAGCATCCTTCTCCGGGGCATTCCTTCTCGCTGGGGGCATTCATATTCGGTAGGGTATCCTCCCTTCCATCCCACCTCGTTTCCATTTTGGGAAGGGGGTGAAGGGGATGGAGAGGCACAGGTGAAGGGAAGTTCAGCAGGACGCTTGACTTCATCTGCAGGGAAGCGTGTCCGCCTGGAGAGTACTTCTCTCTCTCTCTCTCGCTCCTGCGCTCAACAGCTTCTGCGCTCAACAGCTCCTGCGTCTCTTGCGCCATTGGTGCGTCCAACGGTGTGTTATTCTTCTGTTCTTTGTTCCTTGTTGTTGTTGTTGTTAGCGGCGGCGGCAGTAGTAGTAGTAGCGGCAGAGGCGGCGGCAGCGGCAGCGGCAGGCGGCGGCAGAGGCAGCGGCAGAGGCAGCGGCAGAAGCAGCGGCAGAAGCAGTTTTTTTTTTTTTTTTTTTACCACAGACGTGGCCACACATTTACAATGCTAACCAGCATATATACATTTTCTTCTGTCCTCCATGGACAGGGTTAGAGAAGTGTTAAACATATAGTTCAAGGGTTTATTGAACACTCAACCACAGAAGGTGATTCGGTGCTTTTAAAATGCTAAGCTAACCTACATACGTAAATACATAGATACACAGATTTACGTATGCCCTACATAAAGTGTTTGATGTGTCTTTTACATAGTGTCATTAATGTACATTCACAAAGGTGAAATGTAATTCTGATCAGCTTCCATATATACTTTATACCCATACACACACACACACACACACACACACACACACACACACACACACACACACACACACACACACACACACACACACATATACATACATATATACACACACACACACATGCATTCACATACATTTGTCTCATTTACTCTGACAGGGTGAGGTAGCTGATAAAGAAACTAGTGTGCAATTAAGCACTTAATCACTGAAGGTGATGAAGGTGCTTTTACAAGCTCAGGTTATATAGTTACATCATATATATATACATTGTATGATTGATATATTACATGGTCAATCTTGGATACAAGTCTAATATATCATCAAGTGTTCCAGTACTCATATAGTAACTACAGAGTTCAGCATACCTTAGCCCAGGAGGGCGAAAGTCAGTCAGTATGGGACATTCTACAATATAATGCTCAAGAGAGTGCATGTTTTCTCTTTCACAAAGTTGACACATTGTGTACTCGACATTTGGGTTTTGAGAAAGCTGCCAGATACGTCTATATCCCAGGCGTATTCTGGCCACTATAACATCACATTGCCGGGTTCTTGTTCTATTAGTTCCATATGTGAATGTCTCCTCACGATATCTATCATAATATTTAATGCTACAACTTTCAGGTCTTTGAGAATTTGTTAGGTCGGTGAGATTTTCATTAGATATTTGTTTAAGTATTCTCTTTGTCACTGCTAATGAAACACCCATATCAATTTCTACCACTGGTTTTCTGCAGGCTGACTTAGCAAGCAGAAAACCAGTGGTAATAGTAGCGGCGCCGGCGGCGGCAACAATTCCTTGGGGTTTCTGAAGGCCGGTGGGAAGGTATTGTTCTTGTCCCGATGGTCCCAGGTGGTGGGACACCGTCCTCATTCCCCAGCTCCTTGTCCTCATGGCTCCTTGTCCTTATATACCCCTTGTTCTCATACCTCCTTGTCCTCATACTTACCTCTCTCTCTCTCTGCAAGAGTTATTTGCAGTGAAGTGGCCTACAACAGTCTCTATACAGGCAATTTACATCCACAGTGACACAGTTCCACACCCACCTGCACCACACCCACCTGCACCACACCCACCTGCACCACACCCACCTGCACCACACCCACCTGCACCACACCCACCTGCACCACACCCACCTGCACCACACCCACCTGCACCACACCCACCCCCACCTGCACCACACCCACCTGACCACACCCACCTTCACCACGCCCACCCCCACCTGCACCACACCCACCTGCACCACACCCACCTTCACCACGCCCACCCCCACCTGCACCACACCCACCCAACTGACCGCCACAGTCATGTGTAGGCTACACCTGCAGTACAGAAAATTGGTTACTTCTCTTAACAATTCTGGCAGTTCATCATTATGCTTGTATTATTACAAATAATATGACAACACTGGTTCCCACCTGTCCACCACTGAACCCACTACCTTGTACACAGTCCGCCCCGGGGTAAAAATTGCTGGTTTTTGTTCTGTTTTACAGATTTCTTGAACACAGGGAATTGTCATCTTTTCAACTACCCAAAACCCTTCTGTTGAATGCAACATTTAAAAAAAAAATCTCTCTCTCTCTCTCTCTCTCTCTCTCTCTCTCTCTCTCTCTCTCTCTCTCTCTCTCTCTCTCTCTCTCTCTCTCTCTCTCTCCCCCCTCTCTCCTCTCCTTTGCAAATCACTTGGGCTGGACGGTATAGCGACGGTCTCACTTCATGCAGGTCGACGTTCAATCCCCGACCGTCCAAGTGGTTGGGCACCATTCCTTTCCCCCCGTCCCATCCCAAATCCTTATCCTGATCCCTTCCAAGTGCTGTATAGTCGTAATGGCTTGGCGTTTCTCCTGATAATTCCCTGCCTTCCTTCCCCCCCCCCCCCCCCTCCTTCCCAACCCATCGCCCTTCCATTCCCTCCCATTAGGTAGAAGGAATCAACAGAATCAAAGTGTCTGAGGTAACCGCTGAGGTGTCTTGAAACTGTGCAGATATTTCCAAGAATATCTCCAGATACCTCCAGATATCTTCAGATATCTTCAGATATCTTCAGATATCTCCAGATATCTTCAGATATCTCCAGATATCTTCAGATATCTCCAGATATCTTCAGATATCTTCAGATATCTTCAGATATCTTCAGATATCTTCAGATATCTTCAGATATCTCCAGATATCTCCACCTTCGTGTACAGACATCGCTCGTAAATTCAATTCCATATGAACAATTATTTAGCGCGCTTAGCTTGTCAAAACTGAGATAAGAAAGATGAATTAAGTAAGAAATGGCCGTAATTGTATGTAATAATTTAATTATATATAATAATAAGTTTTTTTTTGGTCTTGAAAATTAATAATAGCTTTGAGTGAAGGCAAACGACTGGGTATTATTCAATTTGGCCATTTTCTTAAAGAATATATGATTGCGGTCACACACACTAGTGCCCACACGCACACGCGCACACACACACGCGCGCGCGCACACGCAAACGCACACACACACACACACACACACACACACACACACACACACACACACACACACACACACACACACACACACACACACACACACACACACACACTTGGGGGGTTGATATCACGCCAGACCTGTCCCCTGCAGCCCATATCAAGAGGATAACATCAGCGGCATATGCCAGGCTGGCCAACATAAGAACGGCATTCAGAAACTTGTGGAAAGAATCATTCAGAACTTTGTATACCATATATGTCAGACCAATCCTGGAGTATGCAGCCCCAGCATGGAGTCCATATCTAGTCAAGGATAAGACTAAACTGGAAAAGGTTCAAAGGTTTGCCACCAGACTAGTACCGGAGCTGAGAGGTATGAGCTACGAAGACAGAAGAGTTAGACAGAAGGTTAGGGGGGGACATGATCACCACATTCAAGATTCTCAAGGGAATTGATAGGGTAGATAAAGACAGGCTATTTAACACAAGGGGGCACACGCACTAGGGGACACAGGTGGAAACCAACAGGTAGAAAACAGTGCCCAAATGAGCCACAGAGATATTCGAAAGAACTTTTTTAGTGTCAGAGTGGTTGACAAATGGAATGCATTAGGAAGCAATGTGGTGGAGGCTGACTCCATACACAGTTTCAAGTGTAGATATGATAGAGCACAATAGGCTCAGGAACCTGTACACCTGTTGAGTGACGGTTGAGAGGCGGGACCAAAGAGCCAGAGCTCAACCCCCTGCAAGCACAATTAGGTGAGTACACACACATCACGGCCTCGCGGCTGAGTGGACAACGCTCCGGGGTCGTAGTCCTAAGGTAAATAGGTACTTGGTAGTTAGCTTCTGGAGATCTATCACCTGGGGACACACACACACGCTTCACTTTCCGGCATTCATCACAGCAGTTTATGCATGTGCGCGAAAAGCCTTTTCTCTGAATTTCCCCGCCGTAAAAGATGCAGCGGTTTAGCGTAACCAAGAGCGTCATAACAGGCTACCCACCAACCCTACCAGAGCCTATACTCATTAGTCCCGTAGAACGTCAATATTGCGGTGTTTTTAATTCCCCCCCCCCAAAAAAAAAAATGTACCCCGGGGCCGACTGCGTAAAAGGTAGTCCATACCATGGCAACCAGTGTTGCCATAGTATTTATAAATGTATATTATAATTCATGTTAATTAATGCCCACCATTGCCCAGAGTTAACTGCATTGTCCCCTCCGGTTTGCCATGATGAATAAATTGCAGTATTACTAGATTCGCACTCTCAGATATTGCCATCAATTTGCCAGAATGTATCTAGCCTACAACCTGTCATCTCCCATAATACGTCGTATATTCAACGGAATCGACCAATGCGTTAAAAATATGTCGTATTAGTAACAAAACGCCAAAATATTGACGTTTTCAGTACAGTTTTCTTCCCTCAATAGGTTAGGTGGGTTGCTTGGGTGCGTGCGTTTCCGGTTAGGCAAAACAGTTGCATTTTTTACGGAGTGGCCAATAGGGAGAAGGGACTCAATAATGCTCAATATAGCATTATTTTCCACCGCCACTAAGGTCAGTGTATAAAGGTTGACACATGGTTGTACAGTACATTAAAAAGACTGTATTGGCCTGTAGCATAGTGGCCTGCGTCCTCGGCTCATAACCAAGGGACCCGGGTTCAATCCCTGGACAGGACAGAAACGGTTGGACACATTTCCTTTCGCTGAAATGCCTCTGTTCACCTAGCAATAAAATAAGGTCCGTAGTTGATATACCATGATACAGGCTGCCTGTCCCACCTTGACGACCCACCGCCCACCTTCACGACCCACCGCCCACCTTCACGACCCACCGCACTCCTCCACGACCCACCGCCCTCCTTCACGACCCACCGCCCACCTGCACGACCCACCGCCCACCTGCACGACCCACCGCCCACCTGCACGACCCACCGCCCACCTGCACGACCCACCGCCCACCTGCACGACCCACCGCCCACCTTCACGACCCACCGCCCACCTTCACGACCCACCGCCCACCTTCACGACCCACCGCCCTCCTCCACGACCCACCGCCCTCCTTCACGACCCACCGCCCACCTTCACGACCCACCGCCCACCTTCACGACCCACCGCCCACCTTCACGACCCACCGCCCACCTTCACGACCCACCGCCCACCTTCACGACCCACCGCCCACCTGCACGACCCACCGCCCACCTGCACGACCCACCGCCCACCTTCACGACCCACCGCCCACCTGCACGACCCACCGCCCACCTCCACGACCCACCGCCCACCTGCACGACCCACCGCCCACCTGCACGACCCACCGCCCACCTGCACGACCCACCGCCCACCTGCACGACCCACCGCCCACCTGCACGACCCACCGCTCACCTTCACGACCCACCGCCCACCTGCACGACCCACCGCCCACCTGCACGACCCCCCGCCCACCTTCACGACCCACCGCCCACCTTCACGACCCACCGCCCACCTGCACGACCCACCGCTCACCTCCACGACCCACCGCCACCTCCACGACCCACCGCCCACCTTCACGACCCACCGCCCACCTGCACGACCCACCGCCCACCTTCACGACCCACCGCCCACCTTCACGACCCACCGCCCACCTTCACGACCCACCGCCCACCTTCACGACCCACCGCCCACCTTCACGACCCACCGCCCACCTTCCACGACCCACCGCCCACCTCCACGACCCACCGCCCACCTCCACGACCCACCGCCCACCTTCACGACCCACCGCCCACCTTCACGACCCACCGCCCACCTTCACGACCCACCGCCCACCTTCACGACCCACCGCCCACCTTCACGACCCACCGCCCACCTCCACGACGACCATTAA